TTCCGAAGTTCTTCCATGTCATCTTCATTGGACTCATCACTTCTTCTGTACACAATCATTCTTTATTCTATTAATATGTTTCTGTCGTTTCTTCAGTGTAATATACATATGATATTTTCCATTTCTTATTGTTCCTTGAAGCATCTGATTCTTGAATTCGAAGTTTTAGCATGATCAGTCCTCAAATTAGGTTTGCTTTTTATTGTGGTTACCCAATTGCTGTTAGGGATTCTCGGGCCATGGGTTCAAGAGAGTGGATTCCGAATCACTATCCACGAGAAGTCTGCCCACGTCTACCTATAACATACTATCCCCGTGAATTGGAAACATTTCCCCTTGCATAATACTATATGTGTGGTTACGATGTTATGTGGGTAGACATGGGCAAAGTTTGTGTGGGCAGGAGATCTGAACTCAAGAGAGTCGACTCCAATAGGAGGCGTGCATGTCACCCCTTCGTCTACCAAGCCGTTTCCCTTGTCAAACCGGTTCGACGGGTGGGAAAAAACAAAATCAATCGAAACCTCTTTCCCCCTTCGTTTGAAATCCCTCTCGCCCATTTTCACCCAAGCCTTAGCTCAAGAACACAACAACACCGTGGTGTCCTCACTGTTAGACAGTTTTTGTATGCTCTTAACTTCAATCAGACTGATGTACATTATAAATTTATTGTAAATGAATAAAGTACATATTTGATTCATGTTCATGTGGTGTGCTTCTGTGTAATACTCTTAAACTTGACACTTATGAGACTCGTATTAGTTTAGAATGTTCACAGCCATTGGGTAAATTTGGGGAGATTTATCATACCAAGGTTAACACTGGTGTGCTACCAAATGTTGGGGTGGCCTGTCTCAGCCGCCAAGGTGAGACCCAAGGCACATATAGTGTAGGATTAATAGAACCTTTGAACCGGACCAGATTTCTAGTATTGCCCTAGACCTTGGAGATTGATGGGCAAAACTAGAAAGTTACACCCGACCCCTAAACTCGATTATAATACTGCACTAGGTGTCATATTGGACAGTCTTTGATATACCAACCAATGAGATCCTTAGCGGGGGTCAAAACCTGGGTATGTTGGGACAGTCTAAGAATTCATCTGAGTGGGTGATCCTAGTGACAGAATCAACCCCTTTATCGGACAAAGGTAATGATCGGGGATGCACTCTCACTGATGGAAACCAAGACTGTCGGTAGCTGATTTCAATCGTTGAGATTTGTTTTGCAAAATATATTTTATATAAGATATAAAAGTGTTAGACAGTTTTGTATGCCCTTAGCTTCAA